GAGAGGGGTGGGATTAAATTATGGGGAATTAAATACAAAATGGGAAGTGACACAGTTACTTTTTGCTGATGATACTGTGCTTATGGGAGATTCTAAAGAAAAATTGCAAAGGTTAGTGGACGAATTTGGGAATGTGTGTAAAGGTAGAAAGTTGAAAGTGAGCATAGAAAAGAGTAAGGTGATGAGAGTATCAAATGATTTAGATAAAGAAAAATTGGATATCAAATTGGGGAGGAGGAGTATGGAAGAAGTGAATGTTTTCAGATATTTGGGAGTTGACGTGTCAGCAGATGGATTTATGAAGGATGAGGTTAATCATAGAATTGATGAAGGAAAAAAGGTGAGTGGTGCATTGAGGTATATGTGGAGGCAAAAAATGTTATCTATGGAGGCAAAGAAGGGAATGTATGAAAGTATAGTAGTACCAACACTCTTATATGGGTGTGAAGCTTGGGTTATAAATGCTGCAGCAAGGACACGGTTGGAGGCAGTGGAGATGTTGTGTCTAAGAGCAATGTGTGGTGTAAATATTATGCAGAAAATTCGGAGTGTGGAAATTAGGAAAAGGTGTGGAGTTAATAAAAGTATTAGTCAGAGGGCTGAAGAGGGTTTGTTGAGGTGGTTTGGTCATTTAGAGAGAATGGATCAAAGTAGAATGACATGGAGAGCGTATAAATCTGTAGGGGAAGGAAGGCGGGGTAGTGGTCGTCCTCGAAAAGGTTGAAGGGAGGGGGTAAAGGATGGTGTTGTGGGCGAGGGTTTTGGATTTCCAGCAAGCGTGCGTGAGCGTGTTAGATAAGAGTGAATGGAGACAAATGGTATTTGGGACCTGACGATCTGTTGGAGTGTGAGCAGGGTAATATTTAGTGGAGGGATTCAGGGAAACTGGTTATTTTATATAACCGGACTTGAGTCCTGGAAATGGGAAGTACAATGCCTGCACTGTAAAGGAGGGGTTTGGGATATTGGCAGTTTGGAGAGATCTATTGTGTATTTTTATACGTATATACTTCTAAACTGTTGTATTCTGGGCACCTCTGCAAAAACAGTGATTATGTTTATGTGAGGTGAAAGTGTTGAATGATGATGAAAGTATTTTCTTTTTGGGGATTTTCTCTCTCTTTGGGTCACCCTGCCTCGGTGGGAAACGGCCAACTTGTTGAAAAAAAAAAATGTAAAACTGTAATTAATCTCTATAAAATGTATTTTTTTGTGAATATTTTTGGATTTTTGGAATGGATTCATTGTATTTCCATTATTTCTAATGGGAAATATTGCTTCGCTTTTCAGACTTTTCGAATTTAGAACTAGCTCCTGGAATGGATTAAGTTTGATATTTGAGGTTCCACTGTAATTTATACAGGAAACAGGGTCATTAGCTCCTGGCTTTGGGCATTTTAGTCACCTCTTATATAAGACATGCATGACTTACATAGGAAGAATTCTTTTCCACTCTCCAGCTAGATACAGTGGATCCTCGGGTAACGACATTAATCCGTTCCAGAGAGCTTGTTTTTAACCGATTTTTTTGTTATCCAAATTAAATTTTCCCATGAGAAATAATGGAAATCCAGTTAATCCGCTCCAGACACCCAAAAATATTAAACAAAATAATTTTTTTACATGAAATATACATTTCCCTAAACAGAAAACAGTGAGACATGCAGAATAAACAATACTGAAATGACACTTACCTTTATTGAGGACTTATTGATGAGTGATGAGATAGGAGGAGGGCAGAGGATGGAGGAGTTTACAATTGTTTGGAAGGGGAATCCCCTTGCATAAAGACTTCAGGTAACAAGTCCTTTTCTGGGGTTACCTCCCTTCTTTGCTTTTTAATGCCACTAGGACCAGCTTGAGAATCACTGGACCCCTGTTGCACCAAAAATCTGTCCAGAGAGCTCTGTTTCTGGCGTCTCTTTAAGATTTCCCTGAAATGGGACACAATATTTTCATTGTACATGTTTCCAATACGGCCTGTAACAGCTGTGTCAGGGTAATGTTCATCCATAAAGGTTTGCACTTCAAGCCACTTTGCACAAATGTCCTTAATCTTTGACGAAGGCAACTTCCTCCATCTCTTTCCCTCCTCCTCTGAAGGAAATTCCTGAGCTGTTGCACCTCAAGCTCTTGCAGCACTGTAGTGGTTAGCTCTTCATTGTTGTCCTCCACCAACTCTTCCACATCTTCTCCACTAACCTCCAACCCCATGGGCTTCCTCAGTGCCACAATAGATTACACAACTGGCATAGGCTCCTCAGGGTTAGCCCCAAACCCTTCAAAATCCCTCTCTTGTACACATTCTGGCCACAATTTTCTCAAAGCAGAATTCAAAGTCCTGCAAGTCACTCCCTCCCAAGCCTTACCTATATGGTTTATGCAACTGAGGATATTGAAGTGATCTTTCCAGAACTCTCTTAGGGTCAATTCAGTGTCTGAGGTCACTTCAAAGCACTTTTGAAACACTGCTTTGGTGCACAGTTTTTTGAAATTTGGAATGACCTGCTGGTCCATGAGCTGGAGGAGAGGAGTGGTGTTAGGGGGCAAAAATTTCACATTGATGAAACTAAACTCCCGCACAGTTTGCTCTTCCAAGTCTGGAGGATGAGCAGGAGCATTGTCCATTAACAGGAGGCACTGGAGTGGCAGTTTATTTTCCAGGAGTTATTTTTTCACACTGGGGCCAAACACATCATAGAACCAATCGAGGAAAATGCCCCTAGTGACCCATGCCTTACTGTTTGCTCTGCAAATCACACACAGTTTAGTCTTGACGACAGCTTTTCTTGAACACTCTGGGAGTTTCAGAGTGATACACGAGTAAAAGCTTCACTTTGCAATCCCCACTAGCATTACTACAAAACATGAGAGTTAGCCTGTCTTTCATAGGCTTGTGTCCTGGGAGTGCCTTTTCCTCCTGAGTAATGTATGTCCTGTTTGGCATTTTCTTCCAAAACAGGCCTGTTTCGTCACAATTGAACACTTGTAATAATGTTGGTAGAATTACCGACAATATGTAAAGTAAAAGGACACAAGTGCAAGTAATGTGACATTTTATTGTGGCAACGTTTCGCTCTCCATGAGCTTTGTCAAGCTTGACAAACCTCCTGGAGAGCGAAATGTTGCCACAATAAAATGTCACATTAGTTGCACTTGTGTCCTTTTACTTTACAAATTGAACACTTGTTGGGATTTTAATTTTTCAGCCTCTGTGTACCCCATAAAATCCTGCACCTATTTTTCAGCTGCTTTTTTGTCAGAACTGGCAGCCTCACCATGCCTTATCACACTGTGTATGCCACTATGATTCTTAACCCTTTCAGGGTTTCGGCCGTACTAGTACGGCTTACGCACCAGGGTTTTTGATGTACTAGTATGCCTAAATTCTAGTGCCCTCAAATCTAGTGAGAGAAAGCTGGTAGGCCTACATATGAAAGAATGGGTCTATGTGGTCAGTGTGCGTGGTATAAAAAAATCCTGCAGCACACAGTGCATAATGAGAAAAAAAAACTTTGACCGTGTTTTTGGATTAAAACAGCGACTTTGCACTGTACTGTATTTTTGTATGGTATTTATTGTTGTATTCTAGTTTTCTTGGTCTCATTCTATAGAATGGAAGACATATTACAGAAATTGAGATGTTTTTGACTGATTTTACAATGAAAAGTACCTTGAAATTGAGCTCAAAGTAGCAGAAATGTTCGATTTTTACCAAAGTTCAAAAGTAAACAAATCATGCTAAGCGTCCAATACACGTCAACTGGTGAGTCTAATATTCTTTCACAAGTGCGCCGATATTATTTATCCCATTATTTACACTAATGCAGTAGTCTGCATAACAGTAAATCTATTTTTTGTGAGAATAAAAATTCAAATTGGAAAGCAAAGGAATGTAAGAGGGGCATTGGGACATGTCTAATGAACAGAGGAAATGTCATTTTAGTGCCAGAAATGTCTTGTTTATTCTGGACCCTATTTGGAAATTGGTATCTTTTGAAATTTGTGTGAAATTGGCAAAATTGCTAAATTCTGACCTCTGTACAGTGGACCCCCGGTTAACGATATTTTTTCACTCCATAAGTATGTTCAGGTGCCAGTACTGACCGAATTTATTCCCATAAGGAATATTGTGAAGTACATTAGTCCATTTCAGACCCCCAAACATACACGTACAAACGCACTTACATAAATACACTTACATAATTGGTCGCATTCGGAGGTAATCGTTATGCGGGGGTCCACTGTATTGGATAGTTGAAATCAGTAAATTGGTGGTTTCTTGCACTCATTCGATAGAAAAAATGGAGTTCTAGCGAAATAGTTATGATTTTTGTCGAATAGTACAGTGGAATTGGCCGAAAATAGGGCTCAAAGTGGGCAAAATCGCCAATGTGTAAACATCGTCGAGACTGCTAACTTCACGAGAGCATAATTTTGTAAGTTTTCCATCATATTTCATACTTTTGGTGTCATGATCGGGAAAAGATTCTCAATCTTTTCATAAGAAGAAATAATTTTTTTTTTTTTTAAATTTGGGCGACCCTGAGAACAAGTCTCTGAGAGGGCCTGTCGACCCTGAAAGGGTTAAAGGTTTCAGATACATCTTGCTACTTCTACTTACACTTAGGTCACACTACACATGCATGTACACGCATGCATGTTCTTTTTAATTTTCTTTTATCTTCATGGGGAAGTGGAACAGAATTCTTCCTCCATAACCAATGAGTGTCGCAAGAGGTGAATAAAATGTTGGGAGCAAGGGGATAGTTACCCCTTCTCCTGTTTTTCTTTTTAGGTCACCCTGCCTCAGTGGGATATGGCCGATTTGTTAAAAAAAAAAGTACATGTATTAATAATTTATTATTTCTGGCTATGAAAGCACCAAGACTGAATTCCTTTTGTTTAAATTGCAGTATTCTGGTTTTTACTTGGATTATATAATACAAAACACTATAACATATATTCTTTAAAAAGCTTATGTGAATATATTTTTCCAGGTTTCTCGTGACACGGTGGACAAGATCAAATTGAAAGGTATAAGAAGTCTTGTAGATTTGCTAATTAATAATCCCAGTCAAGAAGCGGGCCTTATTGTTGAGTCAGTTATCAACAAATTAGGTGATCCATCAAGGAAAGTTGCAGCACAGACTATGTACTGGTTAAGAACTTTACTTCAGATACAACCAGGACTGAAATCACAAGTTACAGCTTCAGTTGAACTGATGCTATATAGGTGAGAATTCATATGTTTATGGGTGGGTGATTAGTAATAAAAACTAAGGTGGGATTTATAGTAAGACATGAATGAATAAATACAGCTGTAGATGTGTTCTATGTCCTTGTTAATACTAAACTCATTCAGGCCATAAACACTTGTATTTTTTTTAACACCAGTCGTTTCCCACTGAGGCAGGGTGACTCAAAAAGAAAGAAACACCCAAAAAGAAAGAAAAATACTTTCATCATCATTCAACACTTTCACCATTACTCATACATAATCACTGTCTTTGCAGAGGCACTCAGATATGACAGTTGATATGTCCCTCCAAACTGCCAATATCCCAAACCCCTACTTTAAAGTGCAGGCATTGTAGTACTTATTTACATGTAATAAAAATATTCGATATGCTTTTGGAACTGTGCCGATCATATAAAGCAACTGTAAATTACACATTTTGAATTGCTGATGAAAACAGGACCTCACATAATAATGAATTCACATAAAGCAAATCTGCATAAAGCAAAGGAGGTATCTTGTGTTCTTTAAGTTTACACATGCCTGGTAGTCATCACCCAATTTGAACACAGGTTCAGGTGTACAGTGGACCCCCGGTTTACGATATTATTTCATTCCAGAAGTATGTTCAGGTGCCAGTACTGACCGAATTTGTTCCCATAAGGAATATTGTGAATTAGATTAGTCCATTTCAGACCCCCAAACATACACATACAAATGCACTTACATAAATACACTTACATAATTGGTCGCATTGGGAGCTGATCGTAAACCGGGGGTCCACTGTATTAGTTACTTTTTGTGAGAGATTTGAAAAATTGTGAAAGCTAGTCTTGAGTCCTGGAGGTGGGAGATACAGTGCTTCTTGCATTCTGATGAAGGGCTGGGGATGTTGCAGCTTAGAGGGGTCAATTTAATTGTGAAGTCTTCACAATTCTGGTAAAGACATCTGTTGAATGAATGATGGTGAATATGTTCGCATTTTTGGGTCACCCTACCTTGATGAGAGATGGCCATTGTATTAAAAGAATTTTTTAATGAGACTTCTGTTCTTAAATGTAGTGTGTGTGTGTGTGTGGTGTGTGTGTGTGTGTGTGTGTGTATTTTATAACTAGTAGTGAGTGACGACAAGTGATTTTTGGGATTTGATGGTCAGAAGTGTGAACAAGGTAACATTTATGAAGGAATTTAGAGAAACTGGTCAGCAGAATTTGAGTTCTAGAAGTGGCAAGTATAGTGCCTAGGCACAGAAGGATGGGTGGGGGTGTTCAGAGGGTCATTTGTAATATTATGTCTATGGTTTTCTTGCAAGGCAGCAGATGAATGAATGAATGTGAATGTGTTCTATTCTTTGGGTCACCTCAAATTGGTAAAAATGGCTTATGTGGTATAAAATAAATTAAAAAGGAAATAAATATTTGTTGCAATGGATATGTGAAAATGGAGAATAAAGAGCTGTCTACCAGGTATTACTGCAAGGTAGTGTAGCTAAAAACCATAATTGATTGTAGGGGTACTCATTGTATATGTTAGCACTTCCATGAACATCCAAGGCTGACTGGTCTACCACTTTTTTTTTTTTTTGTCACTAACAGCACTGAGGTTGACTGCAATATCTTGTACATGTAAGAGGTTTACAAATTTGGTTTAATAAAAAAGTGATATTTAATGATGATTTTTGTTAATAATATGCACTTAATCCTAATGCACTATTAGATATTTTTTTTTATTGTTGTTATCACACGCCGATTCCCCCAAGCAGGTTCCCATAAAACAATATTTCACTAGTAGCCATCATTATCTGTCTTGCCAATGGGTTTTGACACTACAGAATTTTAACTGCTATTTACCCTCTTAAAAAGTGCAAGACTTCACTTTTCATTCAGGATTTTTATTTCAAGTTGTACGGTTTTTACTGATCCTTATAAAGATTAATTTCACGCCTCACGGTATTAAAAGCCATTTTCTCATCACGTCCTATCAACACCTCACTTTGATTACTGTGATTTACACATCCCCTACGCATCAAAAACCTTTAATTTACCCCATCTTCAACTTTCAGACCGAACATAAAACCGCCTCCTTATCACTGTCTTCTCTTGAAGCATTTTTTCTCTCATTTTCTAACATGTGCCGAACACCTCAAAACCCTCTATTTGGTTTTTAACAGTTTCTATAACTTTTTTAGTAATTGTTTAAGGAAGGTTTTAGACATTGCACCGGTTTATAAGCATAAAAGCATGCTTAGACAAAGTTGGAATGACTCTCTTTGTTATTTTTCCACTTCCCATGGACAATAGATGAACAAAGCAGACTATTTGAAAAGGAAAAACCTAGAGTAGTTATACTATATTCTGTCGTTCTGTTAGGTTACTAAAGTCATAGGAGAGGGCAAGAATACCCTGTAATCTTCACCTATATATTTCAAAAATATTTCCAGGTCAATCACCATCATGCAAAACCATTACAGGTTTAATTCCACCATCCTGCAGACGGTAGTACTTCCCTGGGTGGTTGCTGTCTACCAACCTACTACCTACTACTACTACTTAATTATGCCACTCTAATCCTAAATGCACCTATTAGATATTTTACTTTCTTGAATCTGTACTGTGAGGTTGATTATTAGCTAAAGCTTGCCCCTCATTTATACCCATAAATCACATATTAGTTTAGATGAGGTAGGGCCAGTTATTATCTCTCATGGACTATGTTTGCAGACATACTGAATTAATTTTGTTGTTTGTTTTTTTGTAAAAATTAAAAAATTATTCCATTATTTATTTAAGGGATTTTTTATTTTCATATAAGTTGTAAGTGTTTTAATATTTGTGCGTTAATAAAGATATAAATGTTTTACTGCCTTTGGTTTAGAAAGCCGTTTTCCTGTGCCTGTCTAGTCAAGCGCCTTACTTTTTGACTTACTTTATTTTAAGAACATCTATAATTATGCATAAAAGTTTAATATTTACTAAAGAATTTGCTTATTTTCAGACCAAATATAAATGAAAAAGCTCAGTATTTCTGTCTTTGCTTTTTGAAAGACATTATTTTCTCTGAGGATGATCATCAACTTGCTGCTGAACTTCTTAAACTATATTTTGGCTTTTTTAAAGCTTCCACTAAGAAGGTATGTGATATGTGTTTGTAAGGATGTTTGTTGAGAACATAAATACTGTACGTATAAGATAAAAAATTGTTTCTTCAAGACAAATGTTTGGAATGTCTCTCTTTGTTGAATATTTATACTTTTAAGTCAAATAAACTGCAGCAGTTTATCTCTCAGGTTTACCTGAACTTTCTTTATTAACTATCCATTTTCAGAGTTATTAATTTACCATTCAACAGCACCTTTTTTTTTTTTTTTTTTAACATGCTGGCTGTTTCCCACCAAGGTAGAGGGACTAGAAGAAGGAAACATATTCACCATCATTAATTTCTTAGCTTCATTTCCAAAGGTATGCAGGCATGACATTTTAAAGGATCCACTGAGCTGCAACATCCTCACCCATCCTTCAGAGTTTATTCACTACACCTCACACTTCTAGAATGCAATTCCAGCCAGTAGGTCTTAGACAGGGATGTGTAATGTCACCATGGCTGTTGAACATATTTATAAATGGGGTAAAAGAAGTAAACACTAGGGTGTTGGAGAGAGGAGTGGGATTAAATTATGGAGAATCAAATACAAAAAGGAAGTAGACTCAGTTACTTTTTACAGATGATACTGTGCTTTTGGGAGATTCTAAAGAAAAGTTGCAAAGGTTAGTGGACAAGTTTGGGAGGGTGTGTAAAGGTAGAAAGTTGAAAGTGAACATAGATAAGTGTAAGGTGATGAGGGTATCAAATGATTTAAAGAAAAATTGGATACCACATTGGAGGGACGGGTATGGAAGAAGTGAATGTGTTCAGACATTTGGGAGCTGACTGTCAGCAGATGGGTTTATGAAGGTTGAGGTTAACCATAGAATTGATGAAGGAAAAAAGGTGAGGGGTAAATTGAGGTATCTGTGGAGACAAAAAAATGTTATCCATGGAGGCAAAGAAGGAAATGTACGAGAGTACAGTTTTACCAACGCTCTTATATAGGTGTGAAACATGGGTTGTGAATACTGTAGTGAGGAGGAGGCTGGAGGCAGTGGAGATGTTGTGTCTAAGGCATTGTGTGGTGTAAATATGTAGAGAATTCACAGTGTTGAAATTAGGAAGAGGTGTGGAGTTACTAAGGCATTAGTCATTGGGCTGAAGATGGGTTGTTGAGGTGGTTTGGTCATCTAGAGAGAATGGAACAAAGTAGAATGACTTGGAGACCGTATAAATCTGTAGGGAAAGGAAGGTGGGGTAGGGGTCATCCTCGAAAAGGTTGGAGGGAGGGAGTAAAGTAGGTTTTGTGGGCGAGGGGCTTGGACTTCCAGCATGTGTGCGTGAGTGTTAGGAGTGAATGGAGACGAATAGTTTTTGGGACCTGATGAGCTGTTGGAGTGTGAGCAGGGTAATATTTTGTGAAGGGATTCAGGGAAACCACTTACTCTGATTTGAGTCCTGGAAGTGGGAAGTACAGTGCTTGCACCTGTACTTCCCACTTCCAGTTTGGAGGGACATCTAAACTGTTGTATCTGAGTGCCTCTGCAAGACAGTGATTATATATGAGTGATGGTGAATGTGTTGAATGATAAAAAAATTTTTCTTTCTTTTTGGGTTTTTCTTTCTTTTTGAGTAACCCTGCCTCGGTTGGAAACTGCCAATGTGTTAAAAAAAAATATACAGCCTTTTTTCACTTAACGATGGAGTTCTGTTCCTAAGACCACGTTGGTAAACAAATTCGTTGCTAAGGGAGGAGCATGCTCTAATGGTAGTGGGTTTATATCAGCCATCTTTGGTATTGTTTTAATGTCGCCTTTGCACCATTTATAACATATCTGGTATATTTTTAATCGTTTATACACTAGTGTTCTGTATATTGTAATAAACAGAGTAGAGGAAATCGGCTCTAATATACATTGTTTAAGTATGCATACTGGTCAGAGAGCCCGTTGCAAGTCCGAGTCAGATAAGATAAGATAAGATTTCGTTTGGATTTTTAACCCCGTAGGGTTAGGCACCCAGGATAACCCAAGAAAGTCAGTGCGTCATCGAGGACTGTCTAACTTATTTCCATTGGGGTCCTCAATCTTGTCATAAGAAGAACATAAGAAAGAAGGAACACTGCAACAGGCCTACTGACCCATGCAGAGCAGGTCCATGTCCCCCCCTCTCCCTGGATTAGTCCAATGACCCACCCAGTCTGGTCACCTCCACTCAAGGAAGGAGCATGGCACCAGACCCAGCAGCACAAGCTAGTCAGGTCCAACTCACACCCACCCACACCCACTCATGTATTTATCTAACCTATTTTTAAAACTACACAACGTTTTAACCTCAATAATTGTACTTGGGAGTTTGCTCCACTCATCCACAACTCTATTACCAAACCAGTACTTTCCTATATCCTTCCTGAATCTGAATTTTTCCAGCTTCAAACCATTGCTGCGAGTCCTGCCTGGCTGGAAATTTTCAGCACACTACTTACATCCCCTTTATTTATTCCTGTTTTCCATTTATACACCTCGATCATATCCCCCCTAGTTCTATGCCTTTCTAGAGAGTGCAGATTCAGGGCCCTCAGTCTATCCTCATAGGGAAGATTTCTGATACATGGGATCATCTTTGTCATCCTCCTCTGTACGTTTTCCAGAGATTTTATATCCATTCTGTAATACGGTGACCAGAACTGAGCAGCATAGTCTAAATGAGGCCTAACCAAGGATATATAGAGGATGCGACCCACACCAGTCGACTAACACCCAGGTACCTACTTGCTGCTAGGTGAACAGGACAACAGGTGTAAGGAAACGTGTCAGAATGTTTCCACCCACTGGGAATCGAACCTCGGCCCTCCATGTGTGAAGTGGGAACTTTAGCCACCAGGCCACTGGGCCACAGCTACCAGGCCACCGGGCCTGGTGGCAAACGAGTACGTCACTAAGTGAGGAGAGGCTTTATATATATACAGTGGTACCTTGTCTTACGAGTGCCCCAACTTATGAGTTTTCCGAATTTCGAGCTGTTTCTCGGTTGATTTTTTGCTTTGAATTGCGAGCCAAAATCCGAGTTACGAGCGAGCTTCAGATACACCACGACTAGTTGGCAGCATATCTAAAGTCAAATCCAACTCTGTACCCAGAGGAACGTCAGATACTTCGTCCCATCCCACATGCTCTTCCAAGATATAACTAGAAGGATAATACTCCCACTTTAATCCCAGATTATAGTGAGGCACCTCGTCCCTTGTTTGGTTCTCTTATAAATCCAGGGAAGAGGTAACCTCAGTTTTTCCAGAAACATAAGGTAGGTGGAGTACTGATAGTGATGGATGGAGTAGTCATGGTGGTCGGTGGAGTAGTCATGGAGGTGGGTGGAGTAGTAATACAGTGGACCCCCGGTTAACGATATTTTTTCATTCCAGAAGTATGTTCAGGTGCCAGTACTGACCGAATTTGTTCCCATAAGGAATATTGTGAAGTAGATAAGTCCATTTCAGACCCCCAAACATACACGTACAAACGCACTTACATAAATACACTTACATAATTGGTCGCATTGGGAGGTGATCGTTAAGCGGGGGTCCACTGTAGTAGTGGGTGGAGTAGTGATGGTGGTGGGTGGAGTAGTGATGGTGGTGGATGGAGTAGTGATAATGGTGGGTGGAGTAGTGATAATGGTGGGTGGAGTAGTGAGGATGGTGGGTGTAGTAGGGATGGTGATGGGTGGAGTAGTGAGGGTGGCAGATAGAGGAGTGATATTAGTGGGTAGAGTAGATATGGTGGGTGGATTAGTGAAGGTGGTTGGTGGAGTATACAGTATCTCTTATTTATAAATACATTTTTCTTATTCAAAAACCCGTAACAAAAAAAAATTGGGGTGGGTTTTTTGGAGGCTGGAATGGATTAATGGCATTTCAGTTAATTTCAATGAGGAAAATTGGTTTGATATACAGTGGACCCTTGGTTTTCGTGTATAATCCATTCCAGAGCCATTGGCCAAAACCAAAATCGGCCAAAACCAAAACCATTTTCCCCATAAGAAATAATGTAAATGGAATTAATCTGTTCCAGACACCCAGAAGTATCAAAAAAATTTTTTTTTACCTTAAATATACATTTACATGCACAAAAGAATGAACATTAAACATGACACTTGTATTTTTTGAAGGCTGTTGTTGCTGGAAGGAAGGCAGGGAGGAAGGGAGAGGGAAGATAGGTTATTGTTTGGGAGGGGAATCCCCCTCCATAAGGACTCTAGGTACCAAGTCCCTTCTTTGTTTTTTACTGTAACTAGGATCAGCTTGAGAGTCACTGGACCCCTGTTGCACAAAATATCTGTCCAGATAGGTCTGTTTCTGGTGTATCTTTAACCCTTTGACTGTTTCAGGCCCCTCTCTGAAACTGTCATTCTATGTCGCCAAATATTCCAAAAAAAAAAAATTATTTTTTCTTATGAAAATGTTAGGAATATTTTTCTGAGTGTTTTAAGCCTAAAAAAAATTTTTTGCCATCTGTACTTACCGAGATATGGAGCCGCAAAGTTTGCAGAAAGTGACGTGCGTACAGCAACAGCGGCGACTGCCGCCCACCCGGTATTCTTTTATTTACTCTAATTCGAAGGTTTCTTGCATTTTTCAATATTTTTCTGTTCCAGGTAACCTATGTGGCCTGTGAGACCAATGTAAGTTGCATTGTTCAAATATACACTCATTGTTTACAACACAATAACAGAACAAACTTTATCACTATTAGTTTGTGTATACACTTTGTTTACACAAACAATACAAAACAATGTTTATTACTATTGTTCCATAATATATATACATATGTACAGTCACTAAACACATTCCTAGAACTGCTGCAGCTTGTGGAACTCTTTGAAACATGGGTATATGCAGAGGGGCACTTCACACTCCTCACACATAAAACGAGTGTCTCTGCGTGTTTGTGGGCGTTTTGTGGTATGTGTACATACATAACACCTCTTCTGAGCATTTTTCTTGGCAGTAGTAGGAGGCAGTTGCATGGGGTAGTGATCACCAGGCCT